CTGCCAGCTCTGAGGACACGGGTGCCATGCTCTGTCCCCAAGGAAGAAGAAACCAAAGGGGTCAAGTGCCTTGTTCAGCCCAGGGAATTTAATTGCTTTAATCCAGATGCCCGTGTTTGCTGGTCAGGGTAAACCCCATGAACACTTCAGTAAGCTCCTAAACCTCAGCTGTCCAGATGCCCATTGTGCAGACTCAGACTGGCAGGATGCTCCTCAGCTACCACCCCTCAAGCTGGCTGAGTCAGCCATTTAGGGACTCCAGAGACACACTGTAGAAGCTTCAAGGAAATACCATGAGTTACCTTGTAAGCAATGCTGCCTCCAGGAGGGATAACAGCTATCGATCCTGGACTAGCGCTGCTTAACATGGTACAAATTACTTTTTAATTGCAATCGGAGAAATCAGCTTATCTAGAAAGTTTACAACTCATCTTTTAGAAAACTGAACAGCCTACTCTCTCCTTCTCTTCCTTAGGGCAAAATCTTGTCCCCCTGGGAAAGAATGACAGTTTTCTGAAATGCAGGCTTCACAGCCACCCAATATAGAGACTTCATCCACCACTGCTCCAGATGTGTTCCTCATCCTTACACCAAACAGCACCCCAATAACATCCCTGTTCCTGTGAAGCAGGCAGTCTCTGGCTGAGCTAAAAGAAACCCCTGCCCTGGTTTGCAATATGAAAAGGCCCCATGTGCCACTTCCCTGAGCAGTAAGGTGCTCCCTGATACCCTTGCATTGCCAAAGCATATTAAAAGGATTCTTGAGGCTGTAAAGAAAGAAAAGCCTGGAAATGTTCCCCCTGCTCCTCCTCAGGCTGTGTTTCAGTTGCAGGACAATGGGCCAAAATTTAATCAGTTAGGAAATAAGGTACAGGAGGTACAGCTGCACAGGGAGCATTCACCTGCCCTCAAACCACCCAATCACCGCATCCCACTTCATGGTCACTGTGAGGGACTTCATGCTGGCCATGTAAGGATTGAAGAACTTCAACCACTCTTCACAGCACAAGGATACACAGGGTAGTTTTGTGCATCAGTCACTCTAGGAGGCTCACTCACAGTTCCATCACTCACATCCCTCTCCTTGAGCATCTCTTCTTTTTGGGTATATGATGTCTCTCCCTTTGTCATCCAGTTCTACCTCCTTCTCCTGGCCACATAACTCAACTACTCTTGAAAGCAAGGTAAGATCCAGATGCATAACCAAGACCTCTCTGCATGCCAGCTCTGCAGGGAGCTCCAGCAACCTGAGAGTTATAAATAGATGCTTCCCACTGTAGCCCCTTGGGGCTGGGCAGAGATTTGTGTGATTGCACAGCTCCAGACCAGGAGCAGAGGCCAGTGCTGCCCATAGAAGCTCTCTTGGTGAGACACTTTCTTATCCTACAAGGTTGGCCATGACAACAGATGTCTCCATCCCCTCGGGGTCAATTTCTGTTCCTCTTCTGACTTAATAACCAATCTGCCCTGTGTTTTCTCAGGGGAAACACAGGTTTGCTGATAGCTCCTTCCTTTCCTCCCCCACCCTGAGTCCTATAACATGATCTATTTATGCAGCCAACCCTTCCCCAAGCCCAGACTGTCTTTCAGTGGTCATGAGGCCAAACAAAAGACCTAGCTCTGTTCCTAAGAGGAATCTAGCCTTGGCTCAGCTGGCAGAGACAGGAGGAAACCTCATACCAGCCACAGAAGACTTCACTGTGACACCAATGGTCATGTCCCCAGTGCTACAGGGTGTTACTGTAGAAGGAGGGTCTGACAGCCACCTTCCGCCTTCACTTCTTACCTCTTCTAAGCCACCTCTCCTTGCCTCAAGACAGCACAGACTCCTGACTGGACAGAATGCCTCCTGTCTGGGGGTAGGAGGAGCAGCAGGGCCCAAAACTACCCTCACCTGGGAGCACTGGGAACTCCCAAGCAGCCTCAGCACTGTTTTACTTCAGTTTGTGTCTGCAGCATCCTGGTAGGAAGAGGAGCTCTGGCATGGGAGCCATTAGAGTGGGTGGCAGCAGATGGTGAAAACAGAGGGGATAAGAAAATAAATACAAAGAGGCTATCTTGAGGGGAGAAGTCACCACTTTAACACTCTGTTGCTTACATAGTCTCTCTTCCTGAAGTCTAAACAAATACTGCTCAGTTCCCAGTGCACAGGAAGAGGCTCTGCCAAATGTGGGGGACAGGTACACAGCACTGTGCAGCCCTGAGAGGTGCTGCAGCCCTGCACCCCACTCAGCCCTTCGTATCCCAACCATTTGCGGAGGGATCTGTCTCATATAGAGCATGGAAAAAAGCCAAGAAGGGAGCCTGCATGTCCTGCTTCCCACAGGTTACTAACAATTCAGGCCAGTCCATCTTTCCATTAGCCTGTGTGTGGACACGATACCACCACGCCTGCCCTTTCCACGGACACCAAAGCAAGACTGTATGGTAGAAATGGATGCTCTTACCTGACATCTTCAGAATTGTAAGTGGAAGGTATTCCTGAGGGAAACGGGGAGAGCCAGTGCTGGTTCTGTCTACAGGGACTCCCCAGTGCTGTCACACAGGAAAACCAATGTACCTTGTCAGTCACCAAGTCACCCAGCAGCACAGCTGCTAATTTGAAGCAAAGCAATGGCTTCCACAGATCTCATACAACCTTGGACAGCAGGAGCCCATCTCTTGCTGACTATTACCCCAGGCTCTTTCATTAACCCCTCGGTCTGGAGGCTGCAGCAGGACCACTTCTGCTTCTCTAGGCACCAGCAGCAGTGGGAAAGGTCTTTTCCTCTAGTGCTCTTCCTGATTATAGCCCTGAGAGACCTCCCAGAGCTCAGCCTTGGGGAAAACAGGTCCTGCTAAAAGTAGGGAGAACCTGGTTCACCAGTCTGCCCCATACACACATACTGAGGACAGCTCATTGCCAGTCAAAAGCCCCAAAACCTGTCGCCATTGTCAAAACCTCCCATCTGGGTCCAGAGGTGGTTCACCAGGGGAAACCAGATGTGAAAACATTCTTAAACATGCAACAGCTGGTTCAGGCAAAGGCAATTTATTATGTTAAGCACATTATTAAAGGATCTAAAGCAATAGAGCAAAGATGTTCCAAGATAGGTTTTAACTTTGCCAGCAAGGGGCTCCTGGGAGTCCTCTCGTTAATACTTCGCATGGGGTTGTTTGCAACCAAGTCTACAGTGAACAGAAATGCCCCCTCAGTCCCCTTTCAGAGCTTGTTTCAGTTAAATCAATACAGCCATCAGGGAGACTTGAGGGAGCAAAGCTATTAGTGGGACCACAGTTAATTCTGGGGGAAAGAAACAAGCAACAAAAGCAATTAAAACTGATGGATTGCTTATGCAGACACAGTAACCCTTTCCTGTCTGTGCCCTGCAGTGTAGCAGCACATTAGACACAAGGATGCTCACTGAAGAAATCCTTCTTCCATGGGTTTTACATGGGCTCTGCTTGGGATCAAAGTACACCTGGACAGGTGCTGGGCAGAGGGCCGTGACAGAGGTGGACATGTGACTGGGAAGCGACAACAGGGCTGCTCTGAGGAGCAGAGGGTGAAATTCCAGGCTAGGACCGTAACACCAGAGCCCCCATCAGTATGCAAGAGCTCTGGAAAGCTCGTTCCCAATCTCTCTTGGCAGCTAGACTTTCAGAAAACGGGAGTGGACACAGTGACTCCAGCTTTGGGTGGAAATTCTGGTCCAACAGCACACGTTTGCAGCCAAGCAGGAGAGCTCAGAGCAGGGCAGGAATTCCCCTCAGTGGCCCTCATAGCACACCATCATGAGCACCTGAGAGGGGTCGTCTCTGCCACAGCAAGGACACACCAAGAAACCACCCAGGCCCATGTCTCCCTCATCTCACCACAAAATCTTATGTCTGCCTTCCCCACACATCTCCCCATTTCTTCTGCCTCCTTACATCACACTGTGTGCCATAAGCATTAGATGGGAAGGTGACTAACATGATTTTGCTCTCTGAAGCACCTTAAATAACAGTAGGTGCTTGGAGAGAACCTCAGCAGCAGCAGCAGCAATAATGGCAGTGGTGTTAAACTCAGCTCAGTAGGCAGTCTAGCCCAGGTGACTGCCCAGTACAGTACATGGTGAAGAGCTTGCCAGGTGACAGCTACATAGTCAATAACTGAGAATATGTCAAGATAGAGGCTGTGTAGCAAAGCACACTGACTAAAAAGCAACACCAACACAAGCTGAAGGTCCTGCAGACTGGTAGTACAGAATCATAGAATTGTTCAGGTTGGAAAGGACCTTTTAGATCATCGGGTCCAACTGTCAACCCATACCCATACCCATGTTGATCACTAAACCATGTCTCCAGGTGCCACGTCCAAATGTGTTTTGAACACTACCAGGGATGGTGACTCCACCACTGCCCTGGGCAGCCTTTTCCAGTGCCTGACAATCCTTTCAGTGAAGATTTTTTAAATAATATCCAATGCAAACCTCCCGTGGTGCAACTTGAGGCCATTTCCTCTTGTCCTGTCACTTGTTACCTGGAAGAAGAGACTGACCTCCCAATGGCTACAACCTCCTTTCATGCAGTTGTAGAGAGTGATAAGGTCCCCCTTTTCTCCAGGCTAAGCCTCCCCCAGCCTCTCCTCCTCAGACTTGTGCCCTAGACCCTTCTTCAGCTCTGCTGCCCTTCTCTGGACACACTCCAGCACCTCAATGTCTTTTGTTTCTGAATGTATCAGCATTTCTGAAACAGTAATGCCCATAAAATAGCAGCAGTAAGTGCATCCACAGCTGCTCCATCTACAGGCCTGTCACTGTACTGTCACAGGTGCCCACAGCATGCAAACCCACACCTCTTATCCCAGAGAATATCAAACAACAGAATAGCACTCAAAATGGGGAACCCAGCCACAGACTGGTTCTGGCACTGAACTCTCTCGTGACAACACCAGACTTATTAAAAAGTTATCTGTGCAGTCGCTCATTTCTAAAGCTACACAGCTGTGAGAAGCATCATCTCTCCACCCAACTGACCTCCAAGTCCAGGTCTCAGGCGGTTGTCGTATCCATCCAACAGCCTGTCCAAGATGCGGGTGAAAATGGTGATGTTATCTTTGCTGTCATCAACGACGTCTGAAACATGCTTCTGAGAAAGCCTGGCACAGGGTGGGGAAAGAGATGAAAAGACCATCAGAAGTAAAACCTACTCTCTACATGCTCTGAACAGTTACTGGGAATAAAGGGATGTTGGTTCCTGCTCCAGCCTGAACTGCAGGATGGGGCACACCTGTTGATAAAGTGATGTGTTTGCAGGACTCCCCACAGGACATCTGAAATCAACTCCCCTCTGGCTTCTGCCACCGCAGACCTCACTGCTGAGGCATCCCCACTGCCCCCTCCCCACCTTTCCATGCTCAGAGGCACCAGCACCATGGGTAGTGGTTTAGAAGCCCTATTTTTTCAGGGAGCCTTCCCCTGCCCCAGTATCCCTCTCCTGCCGCTAGGAACGGGCATTTTATGAACAGAGGCTGTGGGAAGTTCAGCTATTCAAGTGCCAGTATCTCCTTACAGGCAGCATGTAAATGATGCCAGTGATTTACCATATTAAGCCATTTCAAAGTTCTCTGCCCCTGGGAAGAGGGAAGGGAGACAGAAAAGCAGGAATTCAGTAAAGCAGGCTTGAAGCCTGAATCCATCATTAAAACACTTCAAGAACCATTTCTGCTGTTTGTTGAACTCTCCCTGTTTATAAAAACAAATGAGTTTTCACGTTCCCATCTCTGCTCAACACAAAAAGCCTGGAAGCCCCCAGACAAAATGATATCCTCAGAGCATTTTCTATCCCAGCTGGAATAAAACAAGTAGTAAATGTCTCAAAAAAAGATCATCGCACTAAACAAAATCTTCAATGCAGTTTTGCAGACACAAGGGGCTCAACTAATACATTTGCATTTTGTGTCTCCCTTTCAACAGAAAAGGAGCCTGTGAGTCCTCCTGAAACCTGCTGCCTCTAAAAGAGATTTCAGACCACAGAGTACCAGCGTGGTGGTTTCAAGCACATCTTTCCCCAGCAGAAATAGCTGTTAGGACAAAAACAAATGGAAAGGCAGAAGATTAAGTAACAGAAAGCCAAAAGAAAAATCTATAGCGATGAGAAGATTGTAAGGAAGATGGAAAAGGAAACAAGAGAGAGACCACTGAGGCCAAAAAAAAGATCAAGAGGCACAGAGAGGCAGCAGGATGGCTGAGAAAGCCCAGCCAGGCAGGGGAGAAGAGGCTGCTGGAGCAGACAGATCCTCAGAAGCAGCTCCAGGAGCCGTTCAGGAGCAGGGCAGAACCACATGGCAAATCAGCCCCAAGGCCCTAACTGGAGAGGTAAGTAACTGCGGAGCACTGCCAAGATGAAGACCATGCACATCACAAACTAGAGAGATGCTGGTGTTACAAGTCATGGGTGGAATTACCAGGGATGGCATCTATGACCCTCTGAAGCACTGTCCTGCTCCCAACAGTTGGGGGAAGGGAAGCCCCTAAATTGTTGCTTGCTAACATTTTTGCCCCTTTCCTTCCCCAGCCCAGCCTTATTTCCTTTTACTCCAGTTGCTGTGTGCAGCCACTGCTTTAAGCATGCATCAAGAAGGGAGGGAAAAAGAATAAATCTGAAAAAGGAATGTCATTTAAGGAGTTCAAAGCTTAATCCTGCTGCATCCCATCTAGTTAGACTAGTTACCCTGACACTACTGGCCCATTTGTAAACACACTGTGAAGGGTCAGTACGGTGACAAGTGGCAGAGCTGGTTTGAAAATACAAACTCTGTAAGATAAAAGAAGAGCAAAAACTATTTTCTAGCAAAAGAGGAAAAATTGAGAACCAGGTATGGGTATTTTTAGAGTCAGGCTGAATCAATACTACTTAGTATGCTGCAGCTAATTGAAATATTCCATTTTGGGCAATTTTGACGTTAATTTTCATTGGCATAGATGACCAAACACTCTGGGAAATAGCATTTCAAGTGCTGAGGTTCACTTTTCTGGGGATTGTATCCCACCTCCTAGAACACCACTTGGCCTCTTTTTTTTAGCAAACCAATGCCTGCTATGATGGGAGAAGTGGTCAAGCCATGAATCTCAGCCTACAGGAGCCCCATGAGGGTAACACAGTGCTTAAACTGCAGTTCCCATAGAGTATGGGGGGTGAGGCATGGTCAAGATAACACCTGGCCCAGCTTTAATGCAACCTGTCAGATCTAAAACATCAAAATACCCCTGACATTACAAACTGCATCAGCGGCTTCAAGACTTCCCATTTGAATCAAAACACTGGTTTTGGTTTTTTGTCTGGACTTGAACTCCCTGCAGGTAGAATTTTGAGAAATTTAACAAATGCCTACTGTAATTAGTGGGGTTTCAATTGTACCAGATTTCAATAGATACCACGGTTAAAAGCAATCTGTACCAGTGTCTGCTGATGAGTATATAACCATCTATAACTCATGAATAGCTAGCATGCTCATGAAAGCTCATTCATTAATGTTTTATAAGCTATCTTTTAAAATTACCCATAATATAAGGAGCAAGAGGACAGATTTTTGTGAAGGAACTCCTGGCGGAGGCTCCACGGTGATGGGAAAAATGAGTTTACAAATTTCAAAGCTGTTTTACTTAGCCTGACATTTGAGGGTTTGACTTCAACGTGAGCAATGTGGGATTCACTCAGGAGGCACTGGGGAAAGAGCAATGTAGGCAGGATGACAGAAGGTGGAGGCAGGGAAGAGACAGCAGCATCTCTGCCTGCACCTGATTTGGGCTAATTCCCCAGTCCAGCCAAGGTCTGAGCTGGCTCACCTAACCTTAACGTAAAGCTAAAGCTGCCCTTTAGCAAGGCATAAAGGAACGGCAAAAAGGAATGGGGATCAAGGTTTTAAAATAATTAAAGTCCTTTAGGCAGGGATGACAGAGGTTTACAGCAAATTTAATTAGGATAGGCTTGAGGAAAAGTCATTACCTTGCCACCTGTGCACATGCTCTCTGGAGAGCTGTGACACATCAGCACACTAACCTCTGCACAAGGGTCCCCTCACACACAAATTGGGAAACAAATCCTCCTGTGACCAATATCCCACGTGGCAGGCAGCAAGGGGAGCAGTGGCAGCAGCTTTGGTGAATATGTGATGGGAAGAAAAAGGGCAGCAGTGAGGAGGGCGAAGGCAGGGCTGCAGGCACAGGGGCTGCTGACACCTCCCACAGCCATCATGGGGATGGGGACAGGCCCCAGCAGCTGGAAGAGGGGCAGGAGGCCAGTGCCCAGGGCTATCTCTGCCTAAGCAGCCAGGTCAGAGTCAGCATCTACAGGGCAAGACACACTCAGGATGCATCTGCAAAGTCAGATTCAAGCAGGCAAAGAAGCATGGGCAGGACCGGGCAAGAGAGGCATGTGAGTGCCAGAGGAGTGGCAGCACTGACATATTTTCATGCATGAAGATGCTTGATCACTGCTGGACTTGTAACTCAAGACAGCATTTCAGTGTCCATACCTGGCACTCTGAAGGCTTTTCTAAATGTTTTATAGAAGTCATGTATTATTTGCATTTCTCTCCCTCTGTGCAGAGCTCCTCCCTCCCCACAGCTGGTGGGTTGTGTTGGTGGCATCTCTGCCTTCCTGCCTCGAAGGGCTCCCTGAACTCACCAAGCTTCAGCAAAGGCTCCAGCAGGATGCAAAGGAGAGCTGCAGAGTCTGTCATGGACTAACAGGCTTTCTTCTTCTCCTGGCAACTCCCAGAGGCTGGGAAGGTGAGGCTGGTGGCAGTGCTCTCTGTGCCAGGACAGCCAGAGCCTCCAGGGCCTGGGACACCAACCTAGGCAAGAGGAGAGCAGCATGCCCAGCCAGGGCTGGCAGAGACCCCCAGTGCTACAGCAGATCAGGTGTGCTGCCCATGGGTTGTTATACCATAAACATCCAAACAGCTGAAGCAGATTAATTTTCTTTTCTTTAAAACAGTCTTAAAAAATTAAGTGAGGTGGGGGGAATCTCTCTTCCAGGTTACAACTCACGCAAGCCAAGTCCTTGCCCAGAATGAATTGAGCAGAGGCCAAATCTGAATATAGGTTTTGTTGCAAAAAATGCTGACAACTGTCCTTAGTGAGAGCGCCTCAAATAATGCTCATGCCAACCACAAGGGACTGAACAGTCCCCAGGTGAATGGGGACAATGGGAGGGTCAAACACAGCAGAGACACTTTTTAGTGCGTTGCCCTGGACTACTTCAGGCAGGTACTGACCCCAGGTTATCTAAGATCAGCAAGAGGGCTGCAGCCTTGGCCAACAGCCTCAGCACTCACCACCTTACCCAGCATCAGCAGGGAGAGCCAAAAGCAGGACTAGGACTCCAAGGCTAAGGAGAAAGATGGACCCCATTCCTGGGAGCCTCAGCGCCATGGCGTCAGCAAGCAGCGACTGGCAAGCGAGCCTCCAAAACCTGCCAGGGAGAGGAGAGAAAAGAGATTTCATTTACTAGGGAAAAGCAGTTCAGTTACTTCTGTTTTTCACAGCAGTTCATTCATGTTAGCCAGCAGACAGTATTTCTGGGGTCCTGTATTTGAAGTCCCAGAAACCTCTCCAGGGATCAAAGGCAGCAGCATTCCCTGGAGCACTGCTGGCCTTGGGGAAGTCGCAGCATGGGGTCAGAGCCAAGCACACACAAACCCTCAACCCACCTTTACAGCAGACCCAGCAGCTCCCCAGGTGCTTCAGCACCTGGCAACAAGTACATAGCTCCACTTCCAAAATGACCGCACTGGTTCTTCTTCCAATCATGCCTTCCTCCACATCACCCTGTAGTCACCATCTGCCCCTTGCACTGGTTCCCAGCTGCCCTGGTACCTGTACTATCTTGGAGACACTGAAACAGCAGAACCACTTGCAAAGTCACAAGACCCACCTTTTTCCAAACATCTTTTTATAGACGGTTAGACCCTCATTTAATTCTGGTAATGACACTGCCAGAAAATTATTATTAAGTTTGGGCACTGAGGCTAAAGGTGATGGGAATGTTTTACTGTACTATACTTAGTGTGCTCAGATTTTTCATTAGTGCTCAGTTTTATTTTTATTGTGATGTTATTGCACATTTAACTGCCTTCCCCTTTTATGTATCTCATTATGCTGATGCACCTTGGAACAGCACTGCCAAGCAACAGCCTGTATAAATACAGCTTGTCGTGACGTCTCCCCATCACAACACCTCATGTCTGGCATGCAGGGGACTCAGCCCAGCAGAGGCTCAGCACTGTGGCAGTCAGGCACAACCGGACAGTGTGAGCCCCCAGAGCCATCAGTGAAGGCTCACTTCAATTACAGGATGCAGAAACCAGGGCAAGATGCTGTTGCCAGCCAAATCTGACCTCTGGATTTCCATACTCAATAGGCACCAACACTGCAGAGCCTCAGGCAGCTCCCTCCAACACTGAAGGAGATACTGGGTTAAAAGCCAAACCCTGGCACTTTAATGGCAATTCTCAGCTAGCAGAGGGTGCCCTGGGATGAAGGGGGAGGGTGAAGAAGCAGGGACATGGGAGACAGGAACCCCCAGCAGAAATCCCATGCAGAGGGAGCAGGGAGCTCAGCCAAGCAGGACAGAAACACCTGGAGATCACATATGCCATCTATGTGTATGTGGCTACCCCTGCCACAGATGACAGGAAGAGGGACAAGGCCAGGCTGGGTCACGCATGATGTCACAATTCTGCAATTAGCTACCCCTGCTCTTCCCACAGCATTTTAGCCCTACAGTCTTCCTGGCTGGCATGCCTAATCCTTGCTTTTTAGTTCTAGGAGGACATGAGCTGCGAGGTAGGCAGAAGGCAAGAGCCAGACACTACCAGCCCTTACCACCCACCCCAGCTTCTGGCCTGGCAAGAGATTCACTAATGGCAAGCACAGGAAAAAGACAGCATTGGGCCCTAGTTACCTCTGTCTTCCTCTCCATCACTCACTTTAAATCCTTGCAAATATCAATGCATGGATTAATTTAGGTCCAATGAGCTCAGGCTTTAATTAAGCAGGATGCTACCTGGACACTACCTAAGGAAGCACAGCCTTCACACCGAAGGAGGCTGCAAGAGCCTCTGGCATGGGCACACCTACACCTCTGGTGAGAAAAGCCCTGATTTGGGATGGCTCTTCTGTCTCCTGCTGCCTTCCAGCTGAGAAGACACAATCTTGGAAATTCAAGTATTTACTGATGAAGCACAAATTAACAGGCTGAACATCTGTTCTGTGGGAAATTCCAACATTTTGGGGAGACTCATTCCAAATCACAACAAGGACAGCTAAAATGTTGATGTTTCTTATGAGGCAAATTCAGAGCTCCTTCAATAAGCAGCTCAACAGATTTCCTTTCCACTTTTCCCTTTCATTTCACTTCAACTTGCATATTATACTACAGGAATTAATTGATTTCTTTTTCTTAAGGTAATTTCAAACACTAACCAAAAGAAAAAAAAAAAAGAAAAAAAGAACCATTTTTGCCTTCCCTCTTCCCTCCCCACATGACCCTAGAAAATTTTCATTGAAATCAACACTTTCCCATTCAACTGCTGATTTCAAGAAATGGTTTGTTTTGGCAGAATTTGCACTGCCAGCAGTTTTTGACCAAGGATATCCATACAAACAAGGACACTTTGGATTTTCAGCAGATGCCTCCTGGCTCTGCAGAAACTGTCCTGACTCCTCTAGAACATTTTGGACCATCTTTATCAGCTTTGGTAAGCCCATGGGTGGGAGAGATTATGCACCAA